CACTTATATTTGCTGAAAACTCTCAGCAAGACAAAATACCCAGATTAACATATGTAAAACCCAAAGAAATATCCCTTTCATGTTCCAATAACTTTACAATTTAGTTGTTTCAACTAAATTCCTAAAAAGATTCTGAAACCATTTATTTAAAAAGATTTCACACAAGGTCATATCTTTCTGAACTAGCCCTCAGTACCCAAGAGAGAGTTAATAGTTTACCTTCTCCCAGAAGATTTATCCATACATAAGCAATTACTTAATAGCGAATTGTTTTCAGGATAAACACATCATGATGAGAAGTAGAGAAAAGGCAAGACATCAAAAAGGAAATTGACTGTAACTAGGACAGGACAGGATCAGAGCGAAAGGGCAAAAGGAAACAGAACAAGACAGATCAAGTTCCAAAGACTCTGGAAGATTGAGTTAATTAAAGAGTAATAAACATTAACAGAAAGAAGCATGCTATTAAGTAACAATATAACCAAAGAAAAGCAGAAAAGAGAGAAGTGCAAGGAATGATTGCAATGACAATACAGTATTTTTAAAAGACGAAAATCATGGAATAAAAACGTGAGGAAGCCGGGCTCGGTGGCTCAGCCTGTAATCCCGTGCCTTGGGAGGCTGAGGTGAGTGGATTGCCTGAGCCCGCGGGTTCGAGACCTGCCTGGGCAACTTGGTGAGACCTTATCTCCAATAAATCAAAAAATTAGCCGGGCGTGGTAGTGCGTGCCTGTAGTTCTAGCTACTTGGAAGGCTGAGGCGGAAGGATCACCGGAGCCCAGCAGGTCGAGGCTGCGGTGGCCGGGAGCGGCCACTGCACTCCAGTTTGGGTGACAGAGTGAGACTCCAACTCAGAAAAAAAAAAAAAACGTGAGGAGAGACAAGATCAAAAGACAGGGTTTGTAGGGCTTACAGAGTTTATGGCAGAAAGAATTGCAACTGGGTAAGTGAAAAAACTTAAGTCTTCAACATGTTCTGTATGGTGTTTGACAATGGATACATTTGTAATCACAAATTTGTGCTATATGATAGACCCATTATGGCATTCAATCAATACCGAAAATATCCTGGAATTCAGAAACAATTTTTAATGTAGCTATTTTTTTAAACAAATATTGCAATTTCTATGAAAGAATAATTGTATGTCTCCAAAATCACTTTCCAAATGCAAAAAATTAAACTTACACTCATTCAGTAAATTAAGAAAACAATTAACTTTCAAAAGATTAATCTAATTAATTTGAAATACATATTAAAAAGTAATTTATTTAAACATAATAAACCAAACTATTTATTTCTCTGATTTTTAACTCTTTTTAAGTCATATGCACAGAGTCCCACTTAAACCATCTTAGAATACCAAAATCATTCAAAAATAGACCTATATATGCAAGTTTTTAAATAATCATCACCTACTTCAAGCAAATATTAATTAGGTCATGGTATCTGACAAATTCAGCAGCATATTGGAAGTGAAATATAAAAATGCCATTTCATAATATGGTGCTGGATATTCTATTTATTTTCTAATTTTTATTTATCAAAAATGATTTTTAAATTTTGAGTATGGAAATGATGAATATAATTATTTTATTTACTTTACTCATAAAAGTTAAGATAAAATCACTTCTTACTAACAGATTTTCAAAACATGTTTTAAAATATACTTTAAAATCTGCCAATCACATATCATAGGGACCTCTTAGAAAAAAAGTATCTGGAAAAGCAGCAAGTTCTGTGACTCTTTAAAACAAATAAGTGTTGTAACTCTTTATGGCTGTGTAATAGTCCACTGTGTATATGTACCACATTTTTTTAATCCAGTCCAGTTTCTATGGGCAACACAGTTGGTTCCATTTTGCTATTGTGAACAGTGCTGCAATAAACATAACGTATGGACTTCTCAGCAACTTGGATGGATTTAGAGTCAATAATACTCAGTGATCTATCACAGAAACAAAGAACAGAGTACCACTTGCTCTCACTCATAAGTGAACCCTGAACATTTATCATAATACTATAAGAAAGGGGTTGGCAGTAGCAGGATACTGATGGGGTGTGGGGGAGGGAACACAGCATCAGTAAGGGTACCTGACCTCAAACCAGGCAAAGTGAGGACCAAAGGGAGGCCCAAACTTTACCTGTATGATGTCCCCTAGTATACCTAATCCCGAATTATACTCCACATCCTTAAAATAAAATATATAAAAAGTAAAAATTTTAAAAAAATTTTTTAAGTGCTGTGACTCTGGAATATGACATCCAGAATTGATAATGATGGCACCACTTTGGATAACTTCTTAACTTCTTTGTGTTTCAGTTCTCTCATGTGTAAAACTAGTAGGATAATAATAAAAGCAAGCTAATAGGCTTTACAAAGATTGTGTTAGATAATAAGCTAGTGATTGGCATGTTGCCATTCTGTATGTTGACTATTGTTAGCTGTTCTTGTGAGTTTACATTTACATTGGTGCTCCTGACTGCCTTTTTAAAAAAGAACAGCTGGATAATACCGAAAGACACTAACATATGTTGGCTAGCCATAAATGATACAGATGTTGAAACATCACCTGCACATACATTACTTATGTACCTAATCCTGACTTGTACCCCACATCTAGATGCTAAAATAAACTAAATGAATAAATAAGTAATAATTCCAAATACTAAAAAAAAGAAATGTGTAAAATCCTTTATTTAGCATTTATGGCTAAGGAGCATTTTTTCTTTGTATTTCTTATTGTTCTGTCTCATCCATCAGTGTCTTAAGACACCTTTTTTCTTTATTTGGATAATTAATTCATAATCTAGATTATTTTACTATTATAGAGGAGGAAAAAATTTTTTTTCTTATATTCATCTTAGGTTCATTGACTGGAACCCTGCAAGTTAGACTGACAGATTAACAAAAGAAAAACAAACAGAAGTTTATCAACAAATGCATCACAGGTACACGCAGACAACTCAGGAATAAGTATCTCAAAAAGGTACTAGAATTGAGACTTATGTAGCATTTTAACAAGAGAACAATAAACGCATAGGGAAGTGCTAATACAAAGGAAAGGAACTTTTCTTCCGGGGACAAACTGTGGGAAGGTAGATATATGGAGAAACTAATGGAAGGTAAGGATTATTTCAGCAAGGTTCACTACTTAAATTTCTCTGATGCCTTTCTCTGGGCTGATAAGAGCCTAGAGTTGTCTTTGATGACTGAGAAATCATCCTGTCCCTCCTGGTAGAAAGGGAGGTTTTCTTTGTTTTTGTTGTTTTGTTTTGTTTGTATTTGTTTTGTTTTATTTGAGTCAGAGTCTCACTCTGTTGCCCAGGCTGGAGTGCAGTGGCACGCTCACGGTCACTGCAGTCTCGACCTGCTGAGCTCAGGCAATCCTTCCTCCTCAGCCTTCCAAGTAACTGGAACTACAGGCATGTGCTACCACACCTGGCTTATTTTTTGATTTATCATAGAGACGAGGTCTCACAAAGTTGCCCAGGCTGGTCTTGAACCCCTGGGCAATCCTCTCACCTCAGCCTCCCAAAGTGCTGAGATTAACAGGCTTAAGCCACCGCGCCCAGCCCAAAGAGGTTTTCTTCGTATCTACATTTTTTTTTTCAATTGCCTTCAGTTCAAAATAATTCTAATGCCAGAAGAGCATATTTTGGAATGGCTTACTCTGAACCCCTTTATTATCCAACCAAGAAAATCTTGAAGAAGTAATGTCATCTCCCTGACCTAAACAGATTCTTTACGAGAGAAAGAGATGGATGCTGGATCCTCTAGTCAAATGTGAAATGCAGAATCACAAGCCCCACCCTAGGGGAATGAATTGGAATCTGCATTTTGACAACACCCTTTGGTGAGCCTCTTAGAGCTTGAGAAGCAGTGCATGAAAGATCTTTCTGCCAATGTATATATCCACTTATTCTGTAGACCCATTCTGTAGTCTGAATGAGCTTGTTGACACTGGATACATGAAATAAATGTGAGGTTGATGAAAGAAATGACACTGTGTTGGTGAGTATAAAAGTATAACTTTAGGAGGATAGAGAGAGGGAACATTCCTACTCATAAGTGAATTCCTAAAGGCACCAAGTCCTCATTGTCTTTGTTCAAAAATCTGTCTCCCAAATGTAGGTTCCAGTCACCTGCATGCTTGACACTATGAGTTTCCCAACTGATCTTCTAATTTATAGGCTCTGTTCTCAAATGCACTATTTAGAAATAAACTATGATTTTAAAAAAATAATAATTTCGAAATGATTTTCTGTCCTGAGTCTGTTTTCACTCACTTCCAAATGAGTATCAGGGTTTTCTAGATGCAGGAAACAGCTGTCTTAACTGCATTGTTCAATATGAAAGCATGTATTCTGATAAGAAGAATGTATCATATTAATATTTTTAAACATGAAATAATCAAAAGACAAAAATAATTTTGAAATTAATTATTTTTTAAATTTTTGTTGACTTCTGAACACTATTTATGAAGAAAAATCTTATAAATTAGAAGATCAATTTAGAAGCTATAACTGTCAAACAAGAATATGACTTGAACCCAGGTTTGGGAGGCCAACTTTTAAACAGAAACAAAATTACATGTTTTCATTCAACAGCTATGGAGAGTCTTAAAAAACAGTGAACTGAGTCAGCATAAAATGGTCAGCTCTTTGTGGGTTTAGATGTAACCTATGACAAAGCTGGGCATGGCTTAGAAAGGGACAGTAAAGGCAGAGAGACTGGATTTGAATATTGGAGCTGAGTGTTAACTATCAGTGCAACCTTTGCAAAATCACTAAATTTTTTGCTCATTGGTTTCCTAAGCTGTTGACTGGTTGTAATAACACGTCTAATTGTTTCATTAAAATAACAGACATTAAATAAACCTTCATAGAACAGACACTCAACAAATGTTAGGTATCTCTGAACATCTGCATTCAATTATTGGTGCTCTTTCATGAATCTATGTCTTTTTATCTGTCTAGGACTGTGTGTCTGGATCAAAGGGCTCAGTGCAGAGCTTGTTTCCTGGTTTAAGTCTATAATGGACACAGACAACAAAACTCTACTCCAGGACTTTCTCTTGCTGGGCTTCCCTGGGTCACAGGCCCTTCAGCACTCTCTCTTCACGTTCTTCCTGGTGATGTATATCCTCACAGTGGGGGGAAATGCAGCTATCTTGATGTTGGTGAGCACTTCGCACAGGTTGCATACGCCCATGTACTTCTTTCTGAGCAACCTCTCTTTCCTAGAGATTTGGTATACCACAGCTGCTGTCCCCAAAGCGTTGGCCATCCTCCTGGGGAGAAGTCAGACCATATCATTTACGAGCTGTCTTGTGCAGATGTACCTAGTTTTCTCCTTAGGCTGCACAGAGTACTTCCTCCTAGCAGCCATGGCTTATGACCGCTACCTGGCCATCTGCTATCCTCTGCACTATGGGGCCATTATGAGCAGCCCGCTCTCTGTGCAGCTGGCCCTGGGCTCCTGGGTCTGCGGTTTCCTGGCCATTGCAGTGCCCACGGTCCTCATCAGCAGCCTGTCCTTCTGCGGGCCCCATGCCATCAATCACTTCTTCTGTGACATTGCACCCTGGATTGCCCTGGCTTGCACCAGCACACAAGCAGTAGAGCTTGTGGCCTTTGTGATTGCCTTTGTGGTCATACTGAGTTCATGCCTCACCACCCTGGTCTCCTACGTTTACATCATCAGCACCATCCTCAGGATCCCATCCGCCAGCGGACGCAGCAAAGCATTCTCCACGTGCTCCTCCCATCTTACTGTGGTGCTCATCTGGTACGGGTCCACGATTTTCCTTCACGTCCGCACCTCCATCAAAGACACCTTAAACCTGACCAAAGCTGTCCACGTGCTGAACACTGTGGTGACTCCAGTTCTAAACCCCTTCATCTATACGCTCCGTAACAAGGATGTAAGGGAAGCTCTGCTGAAGAAGTGGAAGAGACAATAAACTTCCTCCAACACTTCAGATGTCCTCCACATCTGAACAGGGATTCCATTGAGAATATGGAGGAACAGGGCAAATCTTTCTTGATACACAACCAGAGATTAAAAAAACAAAACCAATGAAGAAGCAAAACAAACAGTACAAACAGCTGAGTATACTTGGTCTACATTCTCATATAGGAGAGAAATGGGAATTTTTTTATATATGCACTCTGGACTTTTTTTAAGCCAAAAAATATTGTACATTGATTAGATTTGTTCTTGATTTTGCTTTATACAATTGGGGCACATATGCAGTAAGAAAGGTATTTCGGTAAATAAACTAAATTCTTGTTTCTTTTTTAAGATTTTTTAAATCACCTGAGTGGAAAATGTTGAGAAATCTATTTGTGAAACAGGGAATATAAGAGATATGTAAACTGGGCTCAGTGGCTCAGCCTGTAATCCCGCACTTTGGGAGGCTGAGATGAGTGGATTGCCTGAGCCTGTGGGTTCGAGACCCTCCTGGGCAACTTGGCGAGACCTCGTCTCTATAATAAATCAAAAAATCAGCCGGGCGTGGTAGCGCATGCCTGTAATTCCGGCTACTCGGAAGGTTGAGGCGGAAGGATTGCCGGAGAACAGCAGGTTGAGGCTCCAGTCTGGGTGACAGAGTGAGACACCAACTCAAAAAAATAAAAAAGAGATATGCTTTAAAGGTTAAATGGATAAAAACCTAACAAACTAGAGAATGTGCAGTTATTGCAATCTAGTATTTGTTGATATGATAGGGTAAATTAGATTCGTATGGAAGAAGAAGCTGATAATTACCATGGGCTACGTTTGTTTCACAAAAATAGAGAATAAAGCAATCCAAAAAGTAAGTGATGAAAAGCAGATAAACAGGAACTCAGGGCAGTTTGAATAAAACTATAGATGCGCTGAGCATAACAATGCATTGGCCTTAGAAAAGGAAAACACTAAGGACTCTGACTATTATAAGCACAGAGGAACAAAATAATTTCCTTTTCAACCATTGACACCTGAAACGCTCCCTTCCCCACCCCCTCCCCCTACCCCCTGGCTGTTTTTCTGTGGCTGCAGGTACTCCAGCAGGTTGAACTGGGCTGCAGATAGACTGTCTTGCTCACATTGGCTCAAACACATACAAAGTGGATTGCTTCTCACAGAAGTGCCCAGGGGCTGGGTGGCAGCTACCCCCCTTAGACCTTATTAGTATGCTTTATTTGAAACCTCTCCTGATTTCGAAAGTGCAGTGCAGTAAGGTAGAATGCAAGAGCTATATGTGTGAAGGAAATAGATGTTTTATTGTGAGATACACATTAATTTTCAAAAGGCATGTCTATGTTGCTGGTGCCATAAAGAAACCCTGCACATCTGGTCTGTTCCCCTCATTTATTAACTCTGAGCATGAGTTTCCAATATGTGGCATTCCTAACAGTGCTTTGTAGGGATTTCTAAAAATCAAAATTCCTAATAAAAGTCAGATTATTACCCTCTGAAGATAAATAGCATTCTGTTTCCATAGGTAAATCCCCAACGTTCCAAATTCAAAAAGTAGTTTTTACTGCCAATTTCAGTGAATATTATCTTCTGCTCACCTCATTATACTGAAAATGATTGAAATTGCTAATATAGCATTAATATAGGGTCACGAGGTAAGAACTGTAGAAGAGGCCTGAACCCTGCAAAGCTGTAGCTGTGGTTAGAAATCAACAACTCTGCTGTTTCTAAGCCTGCTCTCCTCCTCCTATGACTGTTTACACAGCCACTTCACTAAAGAAAAGTTGATGGTCTTCATGCCCTGACCCCTGGGGAGAGGGAAGCTGCCAAGAGGCTGATAAACAGATTTCCTCTTAAACAACGGGCCTAAGGTCGCCCAGATCTCCTTGATGGCATCCAGAAGTTTGATTGACTGAGGATATGAGCAGCTCTAGTCTCCAGGGACCCCAGCTCCCACACACCTTCCTTTTAAACTGCCTCCAAGATAGCTCACTGCCCAGGGATCAGTAGATGGTCCTGGGACTTGTTTTATAGAGATTCTCTACTGTAAAACCTAAAAATGGTGTTTGAGAAGTTTTTCAGACTTTGCACTCTGATGAGCTTGAGATCCCACCCAAACCTAGGACACATACAAAAAAGCAGGCTTCCCTGGGTCCTGTGACCTCCTCCCAGAAACCGGCTCTACACATGAAGACAGTTTTGACACCCCCATGACATCATCCCAACCAATCAGCAGTGCCTGTTCCCTAGCCTCCTCTCCATCAAATTATTCCTTTACGAATCCTAGACTAAAATTCTTGGAGATGGATTTGAGAAACATCTCCCAACCTCCTCGCTCAGCGGCTTTGCAAACTGTTTCTCCACTGTAACAGCCATGTCAGTCTCAGTCTTTCTGGGCAGTGGCCATAAGAATCCAGTCAGACAAGAAGGTAGTCTTCAGCTTTTAAAGTGAATGGATCAGCTTGACATGAAATGGCATCCAAGATTTAATATTAAGTGAAGGAAGTAACTGAGAGTGAACAGAATACATTTATTAATTCAGGTTTTTTCTTCCTATGTTGATTAAAAAGCACACTCTACATAAGCATAATTTTTATAATAAATTATCAAGCAAATATACTTGACTGCTGGATGTTTAGTTCAGTTTTCTTTCTTCTTTTTTAACCTATAATTTATGAAAAAGATAAATTTTATAAACAAAACATGTTATTGTTGAGAATTTTCTCCCAGTGATAAATTACCAGAAGTAGATTCAGAAAGTCATGGTAAAGACTTTTTTAGTTCCTTAATTTATTGTGCCAAACTTATTTTTAAGAAAATGATATAACTGCATGGGACTTCAAGTTTGCAAGGCCTGCTTCACAGCATCCTAATCTTGTGAAAGATAATTTGGGAGTATTTTTTCAATGTTTTCACATTGATCCACACAAAAAAATTATTAAAATTTTCAACCTTTTAACTTTGGGGATTTTAACTTTTCAGAATTTTTAAAATGTAGAATTAATTGGTGATTATGCATTTGTACAAAAACTCATATTAAATTTTAAGAGACTGAATACACAGACAATGGACTCCTGGAGAGCTTCAGGATGGGCACATGTCACCAGAAAGACCCAGCCATGGTTAGAAGCTTGGAACTTTTATCTCCATCCTCCACCCCACCCCATTGTCCAAGGAGATTGTGTTAATAATCAATCAGGCTTACATGATGAAGCCTTCATAAAAGTTCTTAAACTATAGATGTTGGAGAGCTTCCATGTTGGTGAACACAGCCATGTGCCAGCAGGGTGGTGCATCCCAACTCCACAGGGACAGAAGCTCCTATACTCCAGACTCTTCTAGACCTTGCTCTATGTACCACACCACCTGGTTGTTCATCTGTATGCTCTATAATAAACCTGTAAATAAGTGTTTGCCTGAGTTTTAAGTGAACCATTAAAACAAATGGTTAAAACCAAGGAGGGAGTTCTAGGAACTCATGGCTTATAATCAGCTGGTTAAAAGTACAGGTTATGATCTGGAATTTGAGATTGGCCTCAGAAATAGGGGCAGTCATATGGAACTGAGTCCTTAACCAATGGGTTTGACACTAACTCAAGGTAGATAGTGTTCAATTTTTTTTTTTTTGAGTTGGAGTCTCACTCTTGTTGCCCAGGCTGGAGTGCAGTGGCATGCTCACAGCCACCACAGCCTCGACTTACTGTGCTTAGCCAATCCTTCCACCTCAGCCTTCCAAGTAACTGTAACTACAGATGAATGCCACCATGCCAAGCTAGTTTTTTGTGATTTATTGTAGAGACAAGGTCTCACCAAGTTGCCCAGGCTGGTCTTGAACACCCAGGCCCAGGCAATCCTTTCACCTTGGCCTCCCGAAGTGCTGGGATTACTGGCTGAGTCACCGTACCTGGCCAAGTGTCAGAATTGAAACCTAGTTGCACCTAACCCCAGTAAGAATGGCCATCATTAATAAAACAAACAACAGATGCTGGTGATGATGCAGAGAAAAAGGAACACTTCTAATTTGCTGGTGGGAATGCAAACTAGTACAACCTCTTTGGAAGACAGTGTGGCAATTTCTGAAAGAACTAGAAATTGACCTTCCATATGACCCAGCAAGTCCCCTATTGGGAATATACCCAGAGGAACTCAAATCATTTTACAAAAAAGATACCTGCACACGTATGTTTGTTGCAGCTCTACTCACAATAGCAAAAACATGGAACCAAGCATACTGCCCATCGAAGCTGGACTGGATTTTTTAAAATGTGGTACATATACACAATGGTATATTACACAGCCATAAAGAAAGACAAACATATGGACTTCGCAGCAACTTGGATGGATTTAAAGTTGATCATACTCAGTGATCTATCACAGAAACAAAGAATAGAGTACCATATGGTCTCACTCATAAGTGAACATTGAACAATTACCATAATACTGTAAGAAAGGGATTGGCAATAGTGGAAACTGTCAGGGGAAGGGGGGTGGAAGTGGCAGTTGAGGGAAACTGCAAGGGGAGGGAAGGACACAACTTATCAACAAGGGTACCTACATAATCAACATTTGTATACCTAACCCTGAATTTTACTCCACGTCTTTATAATAATTTTTTAAAGTCATCTTACTGTCTTTAGTGTCCTCCCCAGTCATAATCTTATAAACTTGTATGGTTGAAGTGTCCGTTCTATATATACATTCCCTATATGGGGACAGAAGGGGTGTGTGTGTGTGTGTGTGTGTGTGTGTGTACGTGCATGCTTGGGGTAGAGATTGGGAAAGGGAAAGTGAGAATTTTTGAAATAGAAGTGAAAGTGCAGGAGATCAAGTAGCAGCTACCTTGTATAACCATACCACTGATGAAACCATTTAATAAATCAAAAAACATTTTAACAAGTCAAAGATACATGTTATGATCTCAAACATAAATGTAAACACTTAAATCAACGTAAAAAGGCATAATTACTCAGCTAATAGAAGGGAAAGATGAAATAATATGAAAGATGAGAGAGAGA